ACCCTCTGCTTTATAAAACATGATGTACTTCTCCAGGGACTAGTCTCTCCTAATTACACGTCTGAAGTATGGGAGACGATGTCTCACCATCCTGGCTTGTAAGAAGTACTCCAGCTGTTCTTCCCACACAAACCTGTTTACTTTTCTGGCAATGCCAGAACTCAAGTGCATCAATTCTTCTCCAACACCACAACTCAAATGCATCAATTTTTCCAAAGTTTTTGTTGTTATTGTTAAGTGCCATCGAGTTGGTTCCCACTCAGTGACCACTTGGTGACCATTCATAGGGTTTCCGAGGAGCAGCTGGTAGGTTTGAACTGTCTACCACATGGTTCAAAGTCTAGTGTTGATCCTATCGTGCCACGCCAGGAGTTCAGTTTTCCAATTCAAAATGGCCTATACTGTCCATTTCAGCTCACTAATGCCTAGGGTTTTGATTTTTTAAAAACTTTTTATTGTGAGTTGAGTGCAGTTTTATGGAAAAGATCATTCTTTTACATTCAACAAAAGATACATTTTGCTTCATCTCAATGATTGCAATTCCCTCCATGCAACAACAGTTATCCCACTTCCTCACTGTGGGTCTTATTTCCATTCCTCCCACCTTCCCATCTCTTCTCAACTTTGTCCTTAGGTTAGTGTTTTCCTTTTGATTTTGAATGATTGACTTTTCTGTGGTGACCATACCTTATTAGGGTTGGTTTCTCCCCTCTATGCCTATCTACTGCTTGGCAGAAATTGGTACCTTTCCAGATCTGAGGGATGGTTGAGGACCATACTTTTGGGTTCCTCCAGTCTCTTTCTGACCAATAAACCTAAGTTTTAAAAATTTTTAAATAATTTTGAGTTTTGTTCCACGTTTTCTCCCACTCTGCCTGGGACTTTCTAATGTGATCCCTTTCAGAGTAGTTGTTAATGGTAGGCAGACATCATCTAGTTTTTCTAGTTTCACAGTCATGGTGACTGATGTTCATCAGCTCCATTTGGTCAATTGGACTAGTTGATTCCAAGCATCTTCAATTTTTATCACTCTTCTTTCTTCCACATATGGAGAGACCAGTAGTTTCACCTTAGATGGCTGTTCATGAGTTCTTAAGATCCCAGTTGCTGTTTTTCCTAGTAGGATGTAGAACATTGTCTTTGTGGACTATATTATGCCAATTGACCGTGGTGTTCCTTGAGTCCCCAGGTGGGTATCAGTTTTTATATATTACAGTTTATTTTTGACAATTTACAATTTTCTTAAATTAATATTTTGGAGTCCTGGTATGGCACCATAGGGTAAGTGTTTGACCTCCAGGTTGGTTTGAACCACAAGGTCAGCAGTTCAAACTCACCAGCTGTTCCTCAGAAATCCTTTATAGGGTTGCTATGAGTCAGAACCAAGTCGATGGCATTTAACATCAAGAACAATGTTCTGATGATTTTACTATTACTAATACTATTTCTCATTTTGAAATGCATTATTTTCCAGTTTTTCTTGCAATCTAGATTTTGTATATTCTCTCCTTTCTATTTGTTATGATGACCTCTAGTAAATTGTCTTGTGAAATTTTGTGAGTTTCCTGTCTCTGTGCTACTTTCCCCAGAAGCTTTCCATAAACCATTATTTTCTGACCCAGAGTAATCACTCTCATCTAATTTCCTCTAATGCTGTTCCATACCTTTATTATGGAACTTATCACACTGCCTTGAATTTTATCTTTGCTACTTAGAATATGACCTTCTTAAGTCTAAGGACCATGACTTAAATTTTTGCTTGTCCTCTTGTTATAACATTACCTTTTAACCATGTGGTGATTATGTGTCATGGAGTCAGTTATGACTCATAGTGACTCTGAATAGAGCTTCTGAGGCTGTAAATCTGTTTGGGAGCAGAAAGCTTCATCTTTCACCTGCTTTCAAACTGCTGACCTTGAGGTTAGCAGCCCAACTTGTATGCTATGCTACCAAAGACTGTATTTGCTGATTAATGAATTAGTTTCTCAAAAATTTAGCTGTTTGATAACTTGGAGACAGATGTAAGAAGTTTTAAATGGTTATGATTCTTGTATATGTTGTAATAACCAACATTTCTTGCACCATAGGGAATAAAGGTTTCCATATAAGTTAACTTCCCAATTAACTACAAATGCCATTTTATATACCAGAAATGATTTTTTTTTAAACCACTCTTCATTTTTTAATCCAAAAAGATGTAGTGAACATTTACTATGTGATAATCTTTGTATTATGAATTTGGGATGAAACTCTTTAATATTATTTATGTACTTTTTATCTTAATAGTAATTTGTTTATTATAAATAATTTAATCTTTTATTTCTGACTCAGACATAGTACTATGAATATTAGATGTTGGGATATCACATAGTTATGCACACAATTCTAGTTGTTGCTAGCTACCATTGAGTCAATTTTGATCCATGACAGCTCCATGTGTGTCAGAGTAGACCTGTACTCCATAGGGCTTTCTTTTCTTCTTCATTTCTTTTTGGGTCTTTCTAAAAAATACCTCTGGGTAGACTTGAACCTCCAGACGCCAATCTCCAACCTTTTGCTTAGCAACCAAGCAACTTATCTATTTGTACCACCCAGAAACTTACACCACTCACTGTTGTTTCTGTTGTTAGGTGCTGTCGAGTTCATTTCTATTTAGTGACACCATGTGATAGAGTAGAATTGTCACATAGCGTATAATCTTTACAGGAGTCAATGTCCTGCGGAGCTGCTGGGGGGTGTTATAGCTGCCAACCTTTAGGGTTACTGATATATTCGGTAGAATCTCTTCAAAGAACTTCTTCCTTACACTGTAATATCTTGGCGTTCTTACACTATATTTTAATGTTTCTCCTTTTTTTGTTTTTTGTTACTTTTGTGCTATTAATGAGCCTATTTCTATGCTTTCTAATATGCTTTGTTATTTTTTTCCTCTAATGTGCTTTGTGCTGGGAAATCAGGTAGCCAAGTAGGAAAACAGCTTGGGGGAAGCATCTGACCTCCTCTGACTTCACAAGAGAGGAGTAGGAGATTCACCACCAGTTTTAGCCCAAGGGCACTCCTTTGAGGCTGAGGTCAGACATGTCTCCATCATCCAACTTTTTCACCATTTCTGACATCAGCCATCCCTCCCATAGCATTCTACTCTGCTAGGTTTGAAAATTCATTGCAATGATCACACAGAACTCGCAGACTATGCTCAAGATTATGGGGTTTATTAGGAAAGTTAACAGGATCAGAAGTGCCCAAAGCACAGTTCTTTGGTCAAGACAAGCCTTTTCTCAGTCATGCCTACAGGTACACCCGACCCTCTCCTTGGGCTGCCTTCTGTTTTGTTCAGACAATATTACAAAGCTCTTTGAACACTGTGATAAATACCCAAAGAACGCTCCACTCTGCTGTAAGCCTCAGCTCAAAGGCACTTAGCTCTAGCTTTGTGGGTCAGCACACTTACCTCCCTAGTTAAATGCATGGAGGCACTTCACTCTGCAAGTGAGCCTCCCGCCCCAAGGGACTCAGGCTTATTTGTTCCATGGGCTGGGAAGCCAACTGTACTCTCTCTTGTGCTCTGGTTCTTGGTTCTGCTGCTGCCACTCCTCTTGTGTCACAACTTTCTATCTCTGCACTGGGGAGGCCCAATGCACAAAGATCTCGGGACCAAAGGAAGTGTTTCATTCTTCTCTCTCCTTTCTTGTTGGTAGTGAGATTTTGCCATCCTGCTTTTGAGATGGCTCATTGTATATCCATCGGGACAGCAAAATTGACCAACCACAATTATCCCTGTTAAGAACCACTTACAAGTGAATCATATACTACAACAGCATCTTCTTCTACCTTCTCTAACTCAGACCAATCAGGAAAAGATCATTTGGTGGGAGTTATAAAGGCTATGGCTAGAAAAGGCATAGTAAATATTTCACTGCATTGCATCAAGCATGTTAGTGTTTTGTATAAAATGTGAATGCGTTCATGGACACTGTGTGAGTCTGTATGCTAAAGTAAAGTATATGAGCAAGGATTTGAACTCTATTGTGATTGCTGAGATTCATTTATTTTTTTATTTTTTAGATGCATTTGAGATAGCTGAAATTGCTTCATAAGACCTTCTGCTAAGTCAAGGGTTAGAGTAAATGTGACTAAATATTTAGAAGTCTAGTTTGTGCTACTGTCTCAGTGTTCACAGGTAGCTTCTGAATGTCAGTCTTTCATCGTAGATCAACTCAACTTTGTCAGAAAAAATGATTGGTGCCTCATAAAGCAACAAACAATCTCTGAATCCGAGTGTGCTGACAAGTCTGTTGAAGAGTGGGATCACATACTGTTTATCACTTACATGCAATGAACTTCTGGTGTGAAGACAGTCTTTACCTTTTGTGTTACCAAAGGATGTTAGTTGTCTGCATCCACCCGCTAGTCTCCTCAAGGTTTTAAAAAAAGACTTATGATTCCTCGTCACATTCCTTTTTTTTATTGTTAACTAGTTCTGACATTATGCTGCCAAATACTTAAATTTTATAATTCTGTGTTTAGCCTTGTGAATGTTTAAACTATAGAGGTCAATAATGATATAATTAATGGTATTAATTTACTTTGTATTTTATGTCTACAGTCAATATATTCAGCAGGTATTCAATAGTATGTAGTAGATCTGTACATTCAGGATATCTTTTTTAGTTAACTTACTTCCGCCCCCAGGTTAAAATAATGATCATATTTTAGTACCTAATCAGCCTAATGCTTTGTTGATGAAAAATTTGCCATCATTATTTTTTTCATTTTGGATTGAGACAATGAATCCAGATACAGAAGAAAGTACAGGATGTTGGGGGAAAGTACCTGTTAAACAGTAGAACATCTAATAACAGATTTTCAAGAATTATTAAAGAAATAAAATTGGTATGCTTCGATTTTGGTATGGTGTTGACTCTCTAGCACATAGGTAGTCCTCAAAAAAAAAAAAAAAAAAAAACAACAACAAACAAAACACTCCAGTTTTTCAAATTATGGAAATTTTGTGGAAGACGCTGACCTGGATTTTGAGCATCATCATGGTTTCTTCAGAATTTCGTAGTGACCACAGGCTTTCATACAATTCTTAAGGTAGGATTCCTCCCTTTGAAATGGACCAAAAAAAATAAAAAAGGAAAAAAAAATGTTTCTATATCTCCAAAAATAAGCACTCAGAACATTTAGCTTGGATGGACATTTTATTTGGGATATGTTATTGTAGGAAGGGACACCTATAGTGTCAATTCATTGTTGGTTTCATAAATGTTTAGCTTGTTCTATTAGTGATCAACATTCAGTGGATTTTATAGTTGACTGGTGTTTCACAGAAGATGATCCATCCCAGGCCTCCTCTTCTTATACTGAATCCTAAACTTTAATAGAAGACTTATTCAGTTGCTGAAGCTATGAGCAATGTCATTCTCTAAAGTAATCCAACAGTTTATGCTATAAATGAGGATGAAACCAGACAAATTTTGATATTTAGAACCCTCCCAGTAAGGGATCTTTGTAAAGAATATTTTCCCAAACTTAATAATTCTGATCTAAGAATCACTTTGGATGGTTTTGACCTTAGGTGAAAACGTAAGAGTTTTGAGAAATTCAGCCTTGTAAACTTTAATCCTTAGTCCACTATAATTTTAATCTATAAAATTAAATCTTGTATCATAGAAAAGATTTTAATAGAAGTTCCCAGGAGTTAATGGCTCTTTGTTTCCATGGACAAGGCTATCTACTTCTTATGAATGTAATCACAAAAAGCAATCACTTTCTGGTGGTGATAAGCCAGATTTTCAAGGTTATTATAATTTGATGTATATGCCTAGAAGTCCATGTATACAAAGTGTGCCTCTCCAAGCAGATTAACAAAGCCATGCCTTTTAGTATGAACTTTCATTTATAAGAAGTGAAATAAATCCTGTCTGTCAAATTATTTCTATTTGGTTATTGCTTCATGAGAATTTATATTTATGGGTAAACACATGTACAGAAAATAAGGCAGCTGGGAGATAGTTGATTTTCCTTAGTAGTAAGATGAGCTAAAAGAAGGTGTAAACTAACAAGATTGTCGTTATTGTGTGCTGTCGAGTCAGTTCTGACTCATAGTGATCCTGTATAGTGTTCCCAAGGAGATCAGTTGGTGGTTTGAACTACAAACCTTGTGGTTAGCAGTCCAGTGCCTATCTTACAGCACCACACCAGGACCCAGCCTAAAGGAGTAGGTGGGTAATAGTTAGATGGATAATTGGACATCTAAGTGAGAGAAAACATTTACTAGTCCTCTGAATTTTCTGTCTAGCTCATGTTTTGTGTTTTTTTAAAACAACAGTTTTATTGAGATATAATGCATATACCATATAATTCACCAACTTAAAATATATAATTCAATGTTTAGTAAGTCTATAGAGCTGTGTAACCATCACCACAATTAGTTTTACATTTTCAGTATCCCCAAAAGAAACTCCATACCCATTAGTAGCCACTCCCAAATTCTCTCCAAACCCTTGCCCTTCTCCAGTCCTAGGCCACCACAAATGTATTTATTTGTTAAGATTTGTCTTTTCTGGACATTTCATATGAATATAATGATATAATATGTGGTCTTTAGTGAGTGACGGCTTTTACTGAACATAATGACCTTTTGTCATTGTTTGTTGTTAAGTGCCTTATAATGAACTTTAATTATGGAGGCAATCATTAGGAATTTCAAACACTGTGGAGTTCTATCAGTACTGCAGCTCTTTTTGTTGCTGAGTAATGTTCCATTTTGTGAACATACCACATTTTATGTATTCATTCATTGGTTCATGGACATTTGGATTGTTTCCTGTTTTTGTCTATTATGAATAATGCTGCAATGAACATTCATGTAACCCTTTTTGTACAGATTTATGTTTTCATTTCTCTTTGATATCTACCTAGCAGTGGAATTGTCAGAACATATGGTAACTTAGTGTTTGCCATTTTGAGGAACTGTCAGATTGTTTTCCAAAGTGACTGTGTCATTTTGGAATGATTTTTTAAAAACAATAATTTTTTCAAGCCTGTAGAAATTCCATATGAAATCTGTTGGATAACTTTTCATGAAGAGATTTTCTCTGAGCTAAATGCTCTTCTTTTGAACATATGTTCTCACTGTTTTTTTTTTTTTTTAATTTCATTGTAAAATATCCTAACTTCCTATAGAGTTTAGCTCTTAGAATCCATGTTTTAAAAATTATATTTAAAAAGGAAAGCCACACATAATTTCATTTTGAGAGGAAATAATTGGAACTTGATTAGTCTTCAGGTGTTAAATTTTACTCTTATTTTTGTTTGACATAACATAATTTTTGTCCCTATCTCACATATAATGGTAAGCATAGTTTTATCTAATATGGTTTTTATTTATACTGCTACTTCTTTGTTCTGTTAAGTTTTCTTTTTTTCTATGTGTTTTTTCTGGATTCTCTGCCTTGTGATTACAAAGAGGAATTCCTGACTTATCTTGAACACTACCAGCTAACTATTCCAATAAGGGTTGATCAAAATGGAGCTTTTCTCAGCTTTACTGTGAAAAATGCTAAACACTCGAGGAGAAGACGGAGTATGGACCCTATTGATCCACAGCAGGCAGTATCTAAGTTATTTTTTAAACTTTCAGCCTATGGCAAGCACTTTCACCTAAACTTGACTCTCAACACAGATTTTGTGTCCAAACATTTTACAGTAGAATATTGGGGGAAAGATGGACCCCAGTGGAAACATGATTTTTTAGACAACTGTCACTATACAGGATACTTGCAAGATCAACGTAGTACAACTAAGTGGCTTTAAGCAACTGTGTTGGGTTGGTAAGTAGATGCTCTATTTTAAATTTCTGATTGGGAAATAAGTTCACAGTGTAATTTGTCTTTCCTCTGATTAAAAAAAATATATATACACATGCAGATATGATTTAAATAAGGACGTCAATAGTACAAAATTTTTATTTGTTATTTTTCCTACTTTAACTGTTGATAGTACTAAAGAGATTGTATTGACTTTTCAAAGAACAATTTTTAAAGCTTTATATTATTAGTACAGAAGTAAATGAAACCTCAGGCTTCCTTTCAGACATGTTTTTCTGTTCCAATAAGATATATTTTATGGTTAAATAAGATGAGGCCATGCTGGAACATTTAGGGATCTGTGTGCACTGTGATGGGAAATCAATGACAAACTCTTTAGTTTTTTTGTACAATACTTTTCTTTGATATATAGTTTTAAATTACCTATAATCTACAGTTGAAACAAAATGTTTTCCCAGTGTCTCCTCTTTATGAAATAAGTTTTCTTTACTTTTATATAAAAATTGATGAAAAATATTAAAAACATGGATCTACGAGTGCATGTTTTATGCTGAACACCTAAATCTGTTCTACCGTAACCCGTATCCTCATTCATACTTCAATATAAAAAAATAATACTTAGAGTTTGGCTTAAATAAGTGTTAAATTTGAAAAGAATGTCAGGAACTATAAAATGGAGACCAATTTTTACTATTGTTGTTGTTGTCAGGTGCCATCAAGTCGGAACCGACTCATAGTGACCCCATGCACAGCAGAACGAAACAATGTCCGATCCTGGGCCAACCCCATCACTGCTGCCACACTTGATGTTATCAACGATGCCACCTGGCTGATCCATCTCGTTGGGGATCATCCTCTTTTTCTCTGACCCTCCATCTTACCCAGCATGACATCCTTCTCCAGCGACTGTTCTCTCCTGACAATATGTCCAAAGTATATGAGAGATGAAGCTTAGCCATCCTGGCCTCCAAGGAGCACTCTGGCTGCAATTCTTCCAAAATAGATCTATTGGTTCTTTTGGCAGTCCATGGCACTTTTAGTATTCTCCTCCAACACCACAACTCAAA